AAAAATTCCCCAAATTCCCCAAAATTCCCCAAAAATTCCCAAAATTCCCCCAAATCCAAAAAAATCCCTCAAATTCCCCAAAAAATCCCCAAAATTTCCCAAAAATTCCCAAAATTCCCAAAAATTCCCCCAAAATTCCCCAAAATCCAAAAAAATCCCCCAAATTCCCCCAAATTCCCCAAAATTCCCACAAAAATCCCCAAAATTCGCCAAAATTCCCTAAAAAATCCCCAAAATTCCCAAAATTCCCCCAAAATTCCCAAAAATTCCCCAAAATCCAAAAAAATCCCCCAAATTCCCGAAAAAATCCCCAAAATTCCCCAAAATTCCCAAAAATTCCCCAAATTCCCCAAATCCCCAAAATTCCCCAAAATTCCCCAAAATTCCCCAAAAATTCCCAAAATTCCCCAAATTCCCCCAAATTCCCCAAAAAATCCCCAAAATTCCCCAAAAATTCCAAAAATTCCCCAAATTCCCCAAAATTCCCCAAAAATTCCCAAAATTCCCCCAAATCCAAAAAAATCCCTCAAATTCCCCAAAAAATCCCCAAAATTTCCCAAAAATTCCCAAAATTCCCAAAAATTCCCCCAAAATTCCCCAAAATCCAAAAAAATCCCCCAAATTCCCCAAAATTCCCCAAAATTCCCCAAATCGTGCTCGGGAGGCTGCACCCACCTTGGGTGAAGAAATGAGCCTTGTACTTGCCCAGGCGCACGGCGAAGGGGCCGTGCAGGGGGTCCGGGGATGGAGGGTAGAAAAACACGGCCTGGCGGGGGCTCTGTGGGGAAGATTCCAGAAATTAACATTTCTCTCTTTGTCCTATTCTATATGTATTAATATATAATATAATAATATGTATTAATATTATCTGTCACCCGCAGGAAAGCTTCCAAATATCCCTGGGAAAAGCAGGGTTTGTAAAAAAAAATATTAAGTAGGAAAGTAGCGGAATGGTTAGTGTGTGACTGAAGGGAAAAATAGAGATTTTGGAGGATTTATAAATTTAAAATTTGTAATTTATTAATTATTAATAATATAAGAATATATAATAAAATTATATTAGATTATAATCTATATATAATCTATATATACATAATTAGAGATGATATATATTATGTATTTTATAAATAATATAATATAATATAATATAATATAATATAATATAATATAATATAATATAATATAATATACAAGATATAATATATAATATATAATATATAATATATAAGATATAAGATATAAGATATAAGATAAGATAATATGTAATATATATAACATGTAATATGCAATACATAATATGAAATATATAACATATAATATGCAAGATATAATATATAACATATAATATATATTATATATTATATATAGTGTATATATTATATATATTATTATAAATTATATATTGTAATAATATATAGTATACAATATATATCATAATATATATAATATATACACTATATAAAATATATAATAAAATAATATATATAACATTATATTATAAAAGATAATATAGTATATAATATATAATATATAATATATAATATATAAAATATAATATATAATATATAATATATAATATATAATATATAATATATAATATAATTATTAGCATTAATAAATATCTATTATTAATAGATGGAAGAAAAAAAAGTGTAGATTTTAGCTCTCCTTTTTCCTTCTTCTCCCCAATTCGCTAGTTTTTAAAAGCACAAAGAGTGATTAGTTGACAGTTAGTCACAGTTTTTATGACATAAGTAGATATAAAAAACTTATTTTTAATCGATAAAAACAATACACGTGTCTATTTTTGTTTATTAAGTAAAATTAACTTAATTATTTCTATTATTGTATATTTAATTAAATATATTATATTTATAATTTTTATATATAAAAATTATTCTAATTTTTTGATTGTTTTTTCCACTAATTTCTTGACTTGATGTCTATATATAAATATTTAAATATTAAAATATAGAACGTTATATATAAATAAATAATTTACATATTCTTATATATAATTTTATATATAAATATATTGTTGATTTATTCACAGATATAATTTTATATATAAATGTATTTATAAATTATATAATAAGTAAAATAATAGATATATAAAAATAAAATAAAATAAATATTTCATTAGTGATATATATATATTTACACATATAATTTCATATGAAAATATATAAATTATATAAGAAATAAAAAAGTATATATTAAAATAAAATTAAAAATAAATTTAAATAAATTTATTTAAATTAAAAATAAATTCTGGGAATAAAAACTAATGAAAATATAACAAATAAATAAATGAATTCTATTTAATTATATTTATATATTTATATAAATATGTATTTATATTTATAAATTATATCGGGTATAAAATAATATATTTTATAATCTATTATTTTATTTTATTTATGTGTTAACTATTTCTCTATTTCTTTATCTATTTATATATTTATATTATTATTGTTATTATTTATTATTTTATATTATTTATATATAAAACAAAGTAAAATAGAACAGAATAGAATAGAATAGAATAGAATAGATAAAATAAAATAACAGAATAGAATAGAAGAGAATAAAAAAAATAAACCAACAAAAATAAAATAAAATAAAATGATAAAATAAAGTGAAATGAAATGAAATAAAATAAAATAAAATAAAATAAAATAAAATCTTTATTTAGTGATATGTATATATTTATACATATAATTTAATACGAAAATATTTCCATATAAATCATATAAGAAATAAAAAAAAAATATTAGAATAAAATAAAATAAAAATAAATTCTGGGAATAAAAACTAATGAAAATATAATAAATAAATAAATTCTTTCATTATATTTATATATTTATATAAATATATATTTATAATTATAAACTATATCATAAATAAAATATTTTAAAATATTTTATATCATTTTTGTTTTATCTATTTATCTATCCCTTTATCTATTTTTATATTTATATTATTATTGTTATTATATATTATTTTATATTATTTATATTATATAAAATATAATATAATAAAATTAAATATGAATATAATAAAATAACAGAATAGAGCAAAATAAAACAAAAAAATAAAATAAAATAAAATAAAATAAAATAAAATAAAATAAAATAAAATAAAACAAAATGATACAATAAAGTTAAATGAAATGAAATTAAATTAAATAAAATGAAATTGAATAAATTGAAATATAACGAAATAAAATAAAGTAAAATAAAATAAAATGATAAAATGAAATTAAATGAAATAAAGTGAAATAAAATAAAATAAAGTAAAGTAAAGTAAAGTAAAATAAAATAAAATAAAATAAAATAAAATAAAATAAAATAAAATAAAATAAAATAAAATAAAATAAAATAAAATAAAATAAAATAAGCAGGACTCACCTTCCCCTCCCCGAAGAGCAGCGGGCTCAGGTCGAATCCGTCCAGGGCCACCTTGGGCAGGGCAGCGCCAGCCAGGGCACTCAGGGTGGGCAGCACGTCCAGGGTACTCGCCAGCTCGTGGGTCACTCCTGGCATGGCATGGAGACAGCTGTGCCACCCTGCCTGGCACACCTGTCACACACCTGGCACACACCTGGGACATACCTGGCACACACCTGGCACACACCTGACACACCTGGGACACACCTGACACACTTGGCACACACCTGACACACCTGGCACACACCTGACACACCTGGGACACACCTGGCACACCCTGGCACACACCTGGGACACCTGACACACACCTGGCACACATGGGACACACCTGGCACACACCTGGCACAGCTCAGCACGTCCAGGGCACTCGCCAGCTCGTGGGTCATGCCTGGCACGGCACGGAGCCCGCTGTGCCACCCTGCCTGGCACACACCTGACACAGCTGGCACACACACCTGGGACACCTGGGACACACCTGGCACACCTGGGACACACCTGACACACCCCTGGCACACACCAGACACACCTGACACAGCTGACACACACCTGACACACCTGACACACCCCTGGCATACCTGGTACACACCTGACACACACCCCTGGCACACCCCTGGCACACC